TTAGGGTTACACTTTGACCTTGACCCCTTCCCTCTTGCTATTGTATTGTCTGATGGGCAGTTTAGTACTGCACTCAACCCACTTATCTGCAGTATATATATCTGTTCCAAGCCCTTCAGTGGTCTCCTGAAACTGTGACTAGTACCAGACCCTGAATGGATTGTGGTTTTTCCCTATATACACAGTTATAATAAAATTTCACTAACCAATTCTACCAGTAAAAACATAGAATAATGATAACAGTGTAGAATAAAAAGATGTGGATAAGCTTGCTCTACCCATCTTTCCTGTCCTGGCTGGTTTTCTGTGTCAGCTTGACACAAGCCAGAGTCATCAGAGGAAGGAGTCTCAGCTGAGGAAATGCCTCCTTGAGATCCAGCTGTAGGGCATTTTCTCAATTAGTGATCAATGTGGGAGGGCCCAGCCCATGGTGGGTGGTATCATCCCTGGGTTGCTGGTACTGGGTTCTATAAGAAGGTAGATTGAGCAAGCCAACTGAAGCAAGCCAGTAAGCAGCTCCTCTCTGCATTTGCTCCTGCCTCTGGGACTCAGCCCTGTTCTTGAGTTTCTGTCCTGACTTCCGTTAGTGAACAGCAATGCTGAAGTGTAAGTCAAATAAACCTTTTCTTTTCCAACTTTTAATCACAGCAACAGAACCTTAACTAAGACAAATTGGTACAAGGAATGGGGTATTGCTGTGCCAGACCTGACCATGTTTCTGGGAGCATTGTGAAAGACTTTGGAACTTTGGGTTAGAAGAGTCGTTGAGTGTTGAGAGCTCAGTTGGCTGCTCTGTGGAATCTGGAAGATGAGAATGTTGAGAGCAGTGCAGAAGGCAGAGGCCTTGCTTGTGAAGTTTCAGAGGGAAGCTTTAAAACTATCAGGGCTGTTTGCTATTTTGATATAAGATTCTGTGGTTCTGGTTAGCTTGGGCTAAAGAATCAGCTGTGATTAATAAGATACCAGAACTACTAAAACAACATTCTGCTTTGCTGGGATACTTGATGCTGGTTGGCTGTAAATGAGAAATTAGCAGTGATTAAGAAGAGACCAGCACATGAGGGAGCAGAAAGGTTGAGTCAGGTGAAGAATAGAAGAAAGAAAGGATATGTGATAGGTAGGGTTTTAGTTGGGAGGGGGTGCTAGGGGAGGACGGGAGGGAGAAGGGAACTGGGATTGCCATGTACAACAATCTTGTTTCTGATTCAAATAAAAAAAAAGATAAAAAAAAAAGAAATGATGAAGGGGAGTGATCATAAACTACAGCCCCATCCACTAAGGATCTCAAAGAACAACCACACAGAAGAGAGAGAGGGAGAGAGAGAGAGAGAGAGAGAGAGAGAGAGAGAGAGAGAGAGAGAGAGAGAGAGAGAGAAGTATCACTGAGGTGAAATCTTCTGGGAAGTGTATCCTGAAAGCACAGAGAAGCTGTGTTCCGGAGGCGGCCATAGTTGTAGCTGGCAGTAGGACTTGGTCATGTGACAGTCACCCAGGTGGTACCTGTTTTGAAGGCATGAAGGGGTCACGGAGAGCTGAGGCTTGGCCCTGTGAGAGGCCAGGAGAGGCCATTGGTGAAGGTGCAGCCTCAGTGGCAGTTGAAGGCCCGGGACTGAAGGGTTCATGAAAAGTTGAGGCTCAGCACCATAAAGAGGCTGTTGGTAAAAGTGCAGCCCAGTTGCAGCAAGGGCTCCCAGCGCTTTGGAGATGTCAGTATCATGAGATAACCACCAAGACCAGTAGCATCAGTGGAGTGGCCAGCTGGAGCCTAGAAAACAAGCTGTATGTGATGGGCAGGGTGGAGCTGGATAAATGACCCAAGCCCTTTGCAGGAGTCCAGAAGATTGTGAGTGGATCCCAAATAATTGGAGTTTGGTTTTGCTTAGTTCAGATAAGTTGCCCTGGTTCTTCCCTCTTGAAAAAGATATTTAATTTTAATTTTTAGAGGAGCCCGCAGTTGAATGACTTGAACTTTTTTAAGAGATTGGTTATTTTAAAGATACTGGAATTTTTAATGTGTTTGATTTTGTAAAGACTGTGGTACTTTTAACATTTATGATCTTGGGGATGAATAAGAAAGGAAGGGCTTTGGACTAATAGTGATGTGTTTGTGTGTCAGGTTAACAAGGGGTCAGTTAAAAAAAAAGCCAGCTGGTTTTGTGTGTCAGTTTGGCACAAGCTAGAGTCATCAGAGGAAGGAGCCTCAGGGAATTGCCTCAGTGAGATCCAGCTGTAAGGAATTTTCTCATTTAGTGGTCAATGGGGGAGAGCTCAGCCCATGGTAGGTGGTACCATCCCTGGGCTGCTGGTCCTGGGTTCTATAAGAAAGCAGACTGAGCAAGCCATGGGAAGCAAGCCAGTAAGCAGCTCCCCTCATGTCCTCTGCATCAGCTCCAGATTTGGGATCCTGCCCTGTCTTCCTTCAGTGATGAACAGTAATGCTGAAGTATAAGCCAAACAAAACCTTTCCTCCCCAATTTGCTTTTTGGTCATGGTGTTCCATTGCAGCAACAGAAAGCCTAAGCCATCTCTCTGTTTTGAGAATCGAGACTAATAATGTGGGGGGGGTTACAGTTGGAGGAAGGAAGCAAACTGTAGCTAACAGAGATCTGCCTACTCCATTTGATGTGGATGAGACCACTGAAAACCTGAGAAGCTGTAAACAGTTGTGTCGTGCTGCACGGTGGCTCTGCACAGAGTGCACTGGGAAGCTCCTTCTCAGAGTCTATCAGGATTCCCACACTTCTGAAAGCCCAGCCCTGTGGCTTTTTGAGGTGTCTCACATGACATTGCCTGTTGGCTGGAACACCCATATGTGTCCTGTCAGTACCAGGTTCAAGTTCCTTGAGCATATCACCTGGTGGTTGGCTTCCCAAGGAAAGCGGGTGACAAGTGCCCACACATACTGTATTCTTCTGTCACATTCTCTTGATTACAGGTGTCATTAGCATGGCAGCCCTCTCAACAAAAGAAGTATCAATATGTCAACATCCATATATGTTTTTAAATCCGTGTGTTCAAATGTTTATAGATATAACAAGTCAAGGAGAATGAGAGAAATGCAGGTTGGCCTTCCAGCCATCCACTCAGTGTCCTGGCTTTAACATGAGCCTTGATCACTACTTCCTTTGAAATTGTCTCTATCACTGAGGAAGTCTACCAGATTTGGTAGCTCCTTGTACCTAACAAGACCCAGTAGGCAGTCTTTTATGTGAGGAAGAGTTGACTCCCTCCCCTTCTCCTTTTTCTGTGTTTATGTCACTGGTGAGAATCTACTTCATCATCACACTGTAATGCTGGGGACTACCAGTCTGCACAGCATCACTCCGACACTCTATAATTGATTTTTCATTAGATGGGATGGCAGGCTGATGGCAGTGTGCGCTTTATGACTGTAATAGAGAGTGTTAAGTGGTTGTGTTCCCAGAAGTAGACAGATTGGTTGGCTGCAGATTCAGAAGCCATGCAGACAAGACCAGCAGAGGCTGCCCCCAGGAAAGTGGGGTAATAAGTACCCTCACAGCATTCACAATCTGTGGGCTCTGAGAACCTCATGGGTTAGCTCCTTACTGGAAGGAATTACCATGTCTTTCTTCTTCTAGTTTTGTTTTTGCTTTTCGAGACAGGGTTTCTCCGTGGCTTTGGAGCCTATCCTGGCAGTCGCTCTGTAGACCAGACTGGCCTTGAACTCACAGAGATCCGCCTGCCTCTGCCTCCCGAGTGCTGGGATTAAAGGCATGCGCCACAACACCCGGCCTCACCATGTCTTTCTAATACTACAAAGATGTGTCTCATTGCCTGGAAGGTTTTTCATCTAATCTTGATTTGGTTTGTGAAAGCTGTTCTCTCTCTGTCTCTCTGTCTCTCAAGAAGATATACTTTTTCCCCTATAAAACTGCTTCATATGTTCATCATTCTAGGGACTGCAAATACCTGAATTTTTCAAAAATCCATTTCAAGGTCTTTCCAGTCTCCTAAAGTTGCTTCAATATTTGAATGCTTTTCAGGGGGTGCCTTGGTAAAAGGAATCAGCTCTCATTCACATCTGGTCTGTATGTGTAGTTCAGATGGTATTGTTCAAGATTTCTCTTACAAATAACGTTATAATTGTACCACTTCAGCTTTGGAAATTCTGATTCCAAATTCTTGTCATCTTCTTCTATAGACTTCTCTTTCCACTGGTGGTCCAGGGCACAGAATGTAGGAACAGATGGGAAGGAAGGTCGTCACCTTGTGTTTTGTGACTTGTTAAAATGTCACATGCATTTTATGCAGATATAACTCGTGGGAATAATGTTACTTTTTTTCTTTACAAACCTACAGTTAATGTAATTTCATTTAACGGTTAAGCTGAATTTATTCTGTGCAAACTGATCTTCAGTTACATGTGAGATGATGACAATGGAAATTGTCCTGTGAATTTTTAAAGCTTTTAATCTTGTTCTCAAGAAGTGTGTGATGGGGAGGGGTGTGTAAAGTCCTTGCTGCAGACACACAAAGACCTGAGTCCAGTCCCAAGCCACCGTGTGAAATGCTCAGAGCAGTAGCACACACTTGTCATAGCAAGTGGGGATAGGAACAGGCATCCAGCCCCAGGTGCCAGTGAGAAGCCCTGTCTCAAAAACTTAGGTAGAAAACTCATGAGGAATGACAACCAAGATTGGTATCTGGCCTCCAGAGCCATGCCTACACACGCACACGCACACGCGCGCGCGCGCGCACACACACACACACACACACACACACACACACACAAACGCGCGCGCACACACACACAACCGCGCGCGCACACACGCACACGCACACACGCACTAGTTCATTCGTTGTGTTATTTTGCACGGGGAATGGCTAGCAAAGAGACTTGCACAAGGGCCACTACATCCGAGCATCAGCTCCATTGTATTCTTTGTCCCAGATGTGTCCAAACTCCTGGCAATTGAAGATGGAGTGGACCAGTTCAGCAACCATGAAAAATCACGAATGTCTCTCTTTGCTTTCTCTAGTGTCTATCAAATAGTTGTTGAGGAAGAGCGCCCTCGGAGAACCAAAAAGACAACGGAGATCTTGAAGTGCTACCCAGTGCCAATTCACTTCCAGAATGCTTCGGTGCTGAACTCGCAGTACTACTTCGCTGCAGAGTTTCCTGCAGACAGCCTCCAAGCTGCCCAGCCCTTTACCATTGGTGACAATAAGACATACAATGGCTACTGGAACACTCCCCTTCTCCCCCACAAAAGCTACAGAATTTATTACCAAGCGGCTAGTAGAGCCAACGGGGTAAGTATGGTAGATGGCTGTGTGTTGGGCTTTTGGCATTTATTCATGTAAACATGGCTTAAATGACACTGCGGTGAAAACAAAATCAGCCATGTTTTCATGTGCTTCAGTTAGAAACTTTTTTTTTACATTTATAAAAATCAATTTATCAAGAGAAACTTATGGAGAGAACAGAGTATGTGTGGGTTTTGTTCATGGTTTAGGAAAGCATATTGTCAACATGATAGTTATTATTTTCCAATTTTCTTAGTACCGAAAGTTGGCTAGTGGTTCTGCTTAGCTGACAGAAATAGCGTAGCCAGAGCGCATACATTCGGCTCATTTAAAACCTGGAGAGATCCACAGCATCTGTCTCTGAAGCACATTGTCCCCCATTGCCTCCCTCCAAGACTGAATGCATCCTGCAGCTGACTAAATTAGGCATCTTGTTTCCTCTGAGAGAAAAGAGCTCCAGGAAGATGAGAGGGAGGCAAAGAAAAAATAACCAACTATTGAGTCAGTCCTGAAACTGCCTGTTCAAACCAGCCTAGGGCACCGAGAAGACTGCAAACGTCATGTGGAAGCCTCTGGCCTCTGCCCTGCTCTCTCTGCCTCCCGACTTAGTTCCAGGTGGCCTGTCCCCTGACCTTTGCCAGTGTGAGGCATGCAAGTCTGGGTGCAGGGACAGGGCTAGAGGAGGGCGGCCACCAGGTAGAGAGATTGAAAGTATTACTCCTCTCTTTGTGGCCCAGAAATAGCTACTATCTTACACACTCACACCTTGTAGCAGAAAGTGTATCTGGGCTTTCCTCAGGGAAAAAGCCACACTGGGAGTGGTGAGAGCTTCCTCTTGTTAGAGTTAACTGACTAGAACTCCCTTCCCTGGATGTAAATACAATCTAGGTAATAATCTCCCCCTCTTCATTTGATACAGGAAACCAAAATTGACTGTGTCCGAGTGGCCACAAAAGGTAGGTTGAAACTTTGAGATAGTCTACTCGTTTGTGTTCCTGAAGTTGATTTTAGACTGTGTTTGAAAACATCTGAAAATACATTAAGAACTTCACTGAAATAAGTTTATGTGTATCAAGTATGCACGTGTGTGTGTGTGTGTGTGTTGTGTGTGTGTGGTGTGTGTGTGTGGTGTGTGTGTGTGTGTGTGTGTGTGTGTAGGCATTAGGATCCTATGGTAGTTGATACTGCTTCACATAGATATCTTTCAAAATAAGAAGTTACATTGCTAGAGCCCAAGCAGTTTTCAATGGCTAACTTTGTAAAAGTTATTTTAAGAATATTAATTTTCTGTGATATCACTATACATGGTTTAAACTTAAACAAATGATAACTGGTATATATATATATATATATATATATATATATATATATATTATAAAATAACACACACACACACCTACACCTACACCTACCTTTTTAAAGATGAGTAATCACCATGATGCCCATGTTAGATCCAAACACCTGGGCTCAAGTGACCCTCCCAAGTAGCTGGGGCTACAGGTGCAGGCTCCTGCCATGCCATCCACTTCTAAAGTAGTCATAATGTCATTGTAAGACCTGGGCTGTTTACTCTGATGAAACCAGGAGCCAGGGGCTGTTATAGTGGGTCTTCTGTCTCTTGGGCCTGGTTCAAATCTGAGCAGTGACCGTGGCTAGGGATTCTCAGCACCACACGTTCCTCACAGAGAGCCTCCTGAAGAAGGCACAGATAATGTGTCCCGGCACTTCCGTAGCAGTGACTTGCCAGCCTCATGTTTCAGCCATGAAATAGAGGGGCGTCTGGAAAAGCACTCAGAGGCATGCAGACGCTAGACATAAATGAGGCCTTGTACATTAACAGTTGCAACTAAGCACACTCTTTCAGACCATCAGAGGGACCAGGAAGGCGATAAAGAGGTTTGGATGATCTCATTAGACATGAAGAGAAGAGGGTACCATTGGGTCTGTCACTTGACATTTAATCAGGTCACAGTGGATGAGTTCTTTGGCTAAAAGCACCATGATATTATCCTTGTCCAACCTTCAGAGACAGTTCAAATATGCTGAGATGTCCCTGAATAATTTTCCAGCCCCTCATGCACTCTTATTTTATGAACACCCATGGCCTTTCCATCTGGAGTTAACAAATCTTCCTGGTTGCACTTTGTGACCAGCCTTAGGTTGGATGTTGGGCTCCTGGGAATTTTGTTTGTTCACAGGAACTTGTGGGGCTCTATTCCCATCAATCTGTTTATAGAGATGGGGGGGGCTTTATTTTTCTTAGGAGAAATAGGAGTAGATTTAGTAGTATATGAAATTATGATTTTCAGTATAGCCTATCAGTTGCCATATGCTATCAGCTAATAATTAGCACAGCCTTACAAAGCCCTTGAACCAGGCACCCCCCATACTCCTCCATCTAGAGTGCACAGCCTGATCAAGAGGAGCCCTCTGGGGACCTGCGTCATTCCATTCCTGTTAGCCTTATGGTCTGAACAAGTAAATCCATTTCAGGTGGCAGTCTATAGTGCCTTATGTTCACCGTCACGGCTACACATTTCACAAGTCCTTTGCAATATGCCCCTCTCACCCATTCCATTACCGTGGTCTCAAGTAGATGGTGGGGGGTGAGGGGGGCTGGTAACCACTTCTCTAATATTTAAGGTGAAGAATAGGGGGAGTTGGAGGTGAACTGACTAACCAGGGTCGCTCATCTAATATGCATGCAGGATTGACCCTCAGCTTCCAGACTCTTCCTCCCCAGAATCTGCTCCATTGTTGCTTGCTGGCTTTTTCAACCAGCAGAGATCTAATGGTTGGTACTTCAAGACGGGAATCGTCAACCTTCTCTTTATCAGAATTGAGTCACTGCCCAATCTAATGTGAATGCATTGAAATTTCTGTCACCCTGTTCATTACATCATTAAATAATTATATAAACAGTATCCTAGTAAATATGGAAACCTGACAAGTTTGCTGTTTTCACAATAGATTGAATTAGATGGTGATTTGGATCATTTTCTCCCATCAACTAGATTTCATCAATATTGTAATTTGTTTTTCAATTCACCAAAGGGGGATTAGGCAATCAGATGACCTGATTGGCTAAATATTCCCCACTCATATTTTCTGAGTCATTTGCAAACATTTACACAGCAGCAAACACTATCTAAATAATGTCTTTGGGGGGGAGAGAAAACAGTTTAATATTCACCATCTGACATTGTCACTTCTGTCTCCTAAAAAACACAGCCCAGTACACACCTCAGCAAACAGTCTCCCTCCAGAGCACAGTCCAGTACACACCTCAGCAAACAGTCTCTCTCCAGAGCACAGTCCAGTACACACCTCAGCAAACAGTCTCTCTCCAGAGCACAGTCCAGTACACACCTCGGGGAAACAGTCTCCCTCCAGAGCACAGTCCAGTACACACCTCAGCAAACTGTCTCCCTCCAGGCACATGACATTTTGTGCTGCTTTGAGACTTGCTTCCATGGTTTCAGCAAGTCCCTTGTGGGAGATCAACTAATGAGTCAGCTGTTTTTCAGTGAGAATCATCTCCCTTCTTCACACTAAGACATCCTTTTTAGCCCAGGGTCCATCTAAACTGTTAGGTCAAAGCAGAGAAATGGGGTGGATCTGATAACTTTAGTGCCATGGGATAAAGAGTTTTCACACCACAGGTGTGCTTCACCACCGGTGCCTTATAGCTTGGTGGTGTGGAGCCTCAAGCTCACACTGCCTTCCTCAGCAAGCTTGTGAGTGTATGGAGCACGTCACACTCCCAGGAACCCACTGTTGACAAGTTGCCTTTACAGAGGAGGTCCCAAGGTGGATTTGTTTTCCCAAAGAGCTAGCTCATAATTTCAAGTAAGAGGGTGTCTCTTAAGACTAGATTTCATACTATTTATAAATTTAATGTTGTGATTATTTTAATCATATTCCAAAAATGTATTTTGACATTCATCATCTTGAATATAAAGACTTATAAAAATCAGACACAGGGAAAACAAAAGCTAAGGTGTGTTGCCACCAACGAACGCCCCTGTTTAGATGGGTTGCCCATAGTTTATGCCTCTTTAATTTGTGGATCCAGGGGAGAGTTGTGTTGGTGTAACCTTAGTTTGATTGTTGATTATCGATAAACGCATGGCAGACCCTCCTCTCTTGAATTAGAAGAAGGTGCCATGTAATAGGATCTGCGTGGCAACCCTGCCCATTCCAGTCTGTACCTTGGGATGAGAGGAGAGCTTTTAACTATTTTTACTTCTCCAGGTGTTTATTGCATTTTTACAAATCACTACAACTCAAAGTTTTATTAGTTCAGTTCTTTTGAATCTCATTTGGCTCATGCCTGAATAATAACTTTCTTTAACTTTTTATATACTTTAAAAGCTCCTCTACAAGAATAATAACTGTTAGGATAGTGTGACTTTAGAAGACTTATGGATGAACAATTCTAAGCTGATGATGTACACTTAAAAATCAAAGTCTGTCTTATAAATTGTTCTTTCTGGTTAAATGAGGCATGTTCATTCTAATTGATACAACGTCCAGCTTAAGCTGCATGTATTAATCTTCCATAGGTAATATTTTCCACACTAGAATGCAGTTATGTCTCTCCTTGATGATACAGTCATCGGAGTTTTGCTGACTTTCTACTTACTTTAAGAATTGTATGATGCCTTCTGTTTGTTATGTATAGAGTAACCTGTAAGCTTTGAATTCTAGACACAGACACATCCATTTGTGGGAATTTTAAGTTGATAAGAGTTCGGGGGTGTCTTAAGAGTTGGACTTTGATGCATGGGGAAGGCTGTAAATGTTAACTTTTTCCTCACCTTGCAAAGCCTTCCCCAACAACAGGAATGCTAGGAATCAAAGCCAAACCCATGTGCAAACACATGCTAAATTCTTCCCTAAACAACCACAGAAGTCAGACTCTCACCCTCAGACATGAGGAAAACAAGTTGTTATTCTGAGAGTCAATTTTTAAGATGAATGTTCTCTGGGGGAATGTCTTGCTGTTTGTAAGTTTGGAGTTTTGTTTGACCTGAATTTCCACAGAATGTGAGCGTGCTTTGCCAGGAGACCTTGAGAAAAGTGAAGGATTTCTATTGTCCTGATACAATTTCCATCTGTATTCAGAAATGTGAATTTTTTCTTTTTATTTATTTATTTTTTGAATCACTAGGCTGTTGGAGTAGTTTCTCCAACACTGTTTTCCTTTTCATTCTTTTGTTCAAAGAAATGCCATCTTTTCTAGGCCATCCCACTACAGAGAGGAAAGTGTGCTGATAAAAGACCCCAGAAGGATGTCTGTTGAGATGTAAAGCTAATTAAGAGTCCTTTTAATTACTCACATTCAATTCGGGTGCAAACAAAAGCTAGAGTAGGGCTCTTGCAGTGCTAATCCACCACTGTTCGGCTCAGGCTGGGATTTAGCACTTGCAGCCTTCAGCATTTTGTGGAGAAATGTTTTCTTCTCCTGATCTAAAATTGTCTTGGTAATGTCAATCCAGGAATGTCTTAGCCCCTGAAAGGTTCTAAAAGATAAGACGCTAAAGAGTCCCCTGTGTCACAAGTTCCTGGGACCCCAAATTCATTCTTCATGAGTCTCACCAAATGAGTATGGGAAGAGCAGTTCAGAAACTCCAGCTCACTTTCCACGCAACCCCAGTGGCGATTCAGAGACTTGCTTCTCTGTCCATGTGCACAACCACACCTCAAGCAGGGCCCACAGTAATCCCTCTGGTATCTCTCTCCAAAGGATTGGATTGAGATTTCTAGCTTAATTTTGCCAAATTCAGTAATAATGTCTTTTATAAATCTGCCTGGCATGTTATGGTGGGGCCGGAAAGCTTTTAGGACACCCGAAGCCAGAAAATAGAGACCTTAGGCTGAGACTGTAGCTCAATAGGAGAATAATTTTTCTTTGCACATGCTAGACTCAGAGTTAATCTCAAGCACTGAAGAC